CGATCCCAATACGAAGTTCGCGAACATCAGGGATATCCATCGGGCTCAAATCGAAGCGGGTGAAAAGGAGGTTATCACGGCTGAATCCAGCGACTCTGAATGCCCTAGTGAGGCTGGCAGCTGTATTGTAGTGGGTGTGGTTGAGGATCAATAGTTAATAGTAATGAGGAGGTTGGGTTGTGATCCCATCGTTTTTGTGGTGCCAGAAACAGGGGGGTGCCAGGAAGTGGGTATGTTGACTTACTGCCTTTGACGCCAGAAGTATCAAAAGTTCGACTCCTTCAACTGCGCTCAACCTAAGAGAGACATTAAGGTAGAAAATTACTCACTTAGCATTCAGTACACGTCTAAGAAACTCTTTTTGCCCAGCAATATTCTTCTCGAACGCGATTCCCCCCTTGTATAAATCAAAGTGACCACCATCAACCCTCAACGCTTCTCCAAAAGGAGCACGTTTAACGCAGTCCTCCGCAGCACCTAAGGATGCTTCATTGTCCCATGTGGGAAGAACAACTAAATATGGGCGAGTGCTTTTGTGTATGTGTAACAGCGGCCGATTTATCATGATGTTGAGAAGAGACCGCCCAGCGATCACATTAGGCCAGTCTCGTCCGTCACCAGGCGATAAGCGATTCCAACCATCATAAGCCTCTTGTGAAGCCATGACAGCCGTGGTGGAACCATCGCTAATGAGGTCGACGTACTTCGGCTCCCTGGTTCCTAGAATATACGAACCGACGATATCAGCAGCAGCCGTTGTCGCCAGTCTCAAAGACCGGAGCAGCGGCATCTGCATCACACCAGCCAACCCGTCAACGAGCGGACACTGCGCTATACCGGCTGCCAGCTCGTGATCTTCGGCCATGAGAGCGGTGGTGTGCATGCCGCCAAAGCTGCTTCCCCACGCAACGATTCGTGATGAGTCGACCCACGTGCTCTGATCCGGCTCCCGAACCCACTTGATGACATCGCGGAAGTCTTGCAGCTCGTTCCCGACATCGAGAACGTTCCGTGGGAAGCCTTCGCTCTCGCCAAAGCCTAGGTAGTCAAATGTAACGGCAGTGTAGCCCTCGGCAGTGAAGTGGCTTGCGAAAGGGGCGAGGCCGGCGGCCTTGATGGCGCCGATGCCGTGGCCCATCACGATGACGGGTGCAGGGTGTTTTATTCCATCGGGCTTGTATATGGAAATGGCAATCTTTTGGCCATTCCGGCTAGACGTGATGAACCGATCTTCGATAGTGTAGCCCATGCTGATATCGTCTGAGGCTTCGTGACAGTGGAGGAGTCTCAGGTCCTCAAAAAGAGTCTTATGCGAGCTCGCGTTCGATGTTGATTAACGCGAGACTCATCCAGGTATGTCGTGGTTTCTTGCTCGGCGAACCACAGGGTCGAATGGCATCTCGGTTTCTAGGCATGCATAAATGTCGCACGACCATTTGCACGGACTCAATTGAGCCTCGGCTTGTTATGCGGAGGTGTTACATGGTGAGGGAGCTATCCTGAACCTAAGTGGACGTTGCAATTGCGGGGAAGTATCAGACGGAGAGCGGTTATTGCCCGCCGGCTTTGCTGTCCATCCGTCGATCCGAAGGATATAGGGCAGAGGATGTTTGGCGAATAGCATCAGGCGACTGGCCTAATACCTCTCCTTTGACGATTTTGGACAGCTTCAGTGACAATGTCTTCCTCGACTGCCCAGTCCGCGTTATCTGTGAAGCTTATCGAGCTGTTCCAAAACTTCAAAACGCCAGGCATCCTGAAGTTAGTCTTCCGGCGTGGGTGGCCGAGATTCGTTCTGGCCTTGCTGCTCGGTATAGCAACCCTTCGAAAGACCAATGGTCTCCTGAGTCAAGCGACTCTTAACAACTTCACTCAAGATAACTACGACTGGCGAAGGGAGCTCGTCGTAGTTACCGGTGGATCTGGAGGCCTTGGAGACAAGCTGGTGCGCAAGCTGGCCAAGAATTGTATCAAAGTCATAAGTCTCGATATTGTTCCGCCGAGAACTCCGCTACGTAAGTCTGGCCTGCGTTCTTGAACTATCTCTCATGAGTATTTCCGCTAAAGCTGCAGTCAGCGTCGAACGCGTACTTCTACGAAGTGGACATCACATCAAGCAAGTCGATCAAGGAGGTCGCAAGCCAAATCCGTCAAGATCACGGTGACCCTACGGTATTGGTGAACAATGCAGGCGTCATGAAGATAGCCTCGATTCTAGACGAGACCGAGGAACAAATTCGTCACGTTTTTGACGTCAACATCATTGCCAGCTTCCTCCTGATCAAAGAATTCTTACCCTCGATGATCCACAACAACCATGGCCATGTCGTCACAGTCGCAAGTATGGCGAGCTTTGTGACGGGCGTACACAACGTGGACTACTCATGTTCCAAGATGGGCGCTCTGGGACTTCATGAAGGATTGGCTCAGGAGATCAGACATCGGTATAAGGCACCGAGAGTGCGCACAAGGTGAGCAATCACAAAAATGACAAGCTAGCAAGCTGCAAAAGACTAATTTGAGCACGTCAATAGTATCATTCATCCGACCTACATAAAGACAGCCTTGATCGAAAAGGTGCACAGCTCGGGCCCCTTCAAATCAAAGATACTTGAGCCGGAACCAGTTGTAGATGCCATCTTCAAGCAGATTGTGTCTGGCCGTAGCGGCCATGTTTACTTGCCAGGGGAGTACGCCAGAGCGACGGCGATACGCGCTTGGCCTTACTGGCTTCAGGAAAGTCTCAGAAATGCGCAGAAGGAAACACTGTTACATTAACCCCAAGGAACGGAACTTGAGCTTGTGCAAAGGCTTCGACGGTTGAATTCGCAAGAACAAATTGTCCCACAATCCATCAGCTTGCCAGCATTGACCATGAGGAGTTGAAACCAATTACTTGAATTAATCGCTAGTTTTTTTTACTAATAATCCTGCAAAGATATTATTCCAGGTATCCAAATGATATATAGCTCTGGCTGACTGTAAGGTATCACTTTTCGTGAGCCACGTCAATGACTTCCATCTTGTGCAGATGTCTCATTTCGCAACTGCACAGTCGTCTTGTACGACTTGAACTTCCTCGCTGGGACGCCCTTTGCGAACATTTCGTCAAGCTCTTCGTAGGAGCGACCGCCAGTCTCAGGCTGGAAGAGCCAAAGATATGCCAGGGAAAAGAGACACAAGCCACCGAAGATGAAGGCAATCTTGGCGCCGAGGTTGGCCTTGTCCGGGTTGAACATGTACGGGATAACGAATTGCCACATAACGTTGATGGAGTTTTGCGATGCATATCCGATGGCGACGGTCTTAGCTCTCAGACGAGAGGTCGACACTTCGGCAAGCAGAGAAAAGGCGGTAGATCCGATGGAGACGTTGTACCACCAGCTGTAGATGAGAATGAACGCGACGGTTCCTTTGATCATGGGCTGGCTGGTGCCCGTTCCCAATCCGCCTGTAATCAAGAGGAAGACTGTGAGAATGGCCAAACCGTAGAACGTAAGATTTCTTCGGCCGACTTTGTCAATCACAGCGGCGGCCATCAAGTTGCCAACAATTGACAGAACGGGCTGAGCAATTTGAAGCTGGTAGCTCATCGAAGTAGAATAACCGGCGAGCTGAAGATAGTCTAAAGAGCGAATTGTTAGTATCGTTGCTTTAATGAGGAATGATGCCTCGAATATAGAGTTGTGAGAAGGCGGGATACTGACAAGTGAAATAGCTGGCAACAAAGGCGATTCCGCTGAAGCTCTGAATGCATAGAGGCATGATGCTGATGATGGTTCTCCTCAAGTTTGACTTCTTGAAGCACTCCAGGTAGGTGACACCGTCTGTTTCGGCTTTCACTTCATCCAATGTACGCTCAATAAGAGCGAGTTTCGCTCTGCCCTCATTACCAGAGTGTCCAAGTCTCCCAAGACTCTTAAGGGCTTCGTCCTTCTTCCCCTTGGATACTAGCCACCACGGAGACCTAAGGTAGGTTAGTCAATTCAGAGATGTATGGTCTGCGCAAAGGATTAGGAACGTACTCAGGCATGAACGGCCAAAGAATTGCTGAAACTCCAGCAAAGCCGAATTGGCAGCAGAAAACGGTACGGTAGGCCCAGCGAGACTCGACGGTGCCAGTGTAGTTGATAACAATGAAAGCAACGAGAGGACCAATTCCGTAGGCAACACCAACTCCGCAAGTGAAGATACCGCGGAGAGCTAGCGGTGTAATTTCTCCAATGTAGCTTACCATGATAGTGCCAACAGCACCAACCATGAAACCATTTAGGAGCTTTCCGGCAAAGAAGACTGGGTTGGTCGTTGCGATGAACTCAATGGCAACGGCAATGAAGGAGATGACGAGGGCGAGGGCCAGTACTTTCTTTCGGCCAATATAATCAGCGAGCTCGGCGGAGGCAATCGACGAAATCACGGCACTGCAGGATGAAGTTAGTATTACTTGCATAATACCGTAATCGTCAAGTCTCAGGCTTACGTGGCGATAGGTGCACCGCTAAAGGCAGACTGCCAGATAGCTGGAAGGACATAGTCTCCGTTGAATTCGTAACCAAAGTCCTTGCGAAATTCGGGAATCCCCACAACCGCACCTGCAGCCTGAACGTCGAAGCTGAGTAGGATGATAGTCCAGCAGGCGTAAACACACCAAGCACATGCCCATGGGTAACGGACAAACGACTTCCAGATGCCCATCTCATGGTCTTCAAAGTCGGCAGCAAGTGCTAGCTGAGAGTCGACACTGACTTCGAGGTGTTTGGCATCATGTTGGGAGTCAACCTTTTCGGCTGCATAGCCGTCGTCGTAATTCGCCATGACGCAGGATTATTGTCTCATGGATGGTGAGTCAAAGAGCGAAAAGAGAGTGGTGATTCTACCTTGTTCAGAGGCCGGTGCCGGTGTGGGTTACTGTAAACAGAGATGAGGGTTGTTGGGGACTTTTAATACATGATTCGAAATCATCAAGCAACCGCACGAAGAGACTTTACCCCAGGATCATGGCGAACACAGTTTTCCTGGGGTTTGGGGGCGCTTGTGGAGAAGGGGCCCAACGGCGCGGTTCCTGGAAACCGTTCGACCGACATTTACTATGACAATGTCCCCGTGGGGATCGATTTATGCGGAGGTGGTACTGGGTAAGATTCATCCAAGAAAACCACATTGCTTGACTTGGGGTTCTAAGGCTCTGGGTTCCTCTTTGGTGCTAGGTCGTCATCCGTGAGGGGTTCGCCGGTGGTTCGCATTGCCTATTCCGGATGGTCCAAACTGGTTTGAATCAGGTGTCAGTTAGCTTCCCCGTAATTCTTCACACGAATCCTTGGCCCTCCCTCTCGGCAAATATCTCACGCGAGCCTCGAGCTACCTATTTAGAGGAAGTCGAGCGGTTGAATAGAGTCCGTTTTCCAGCTGACATCGGGCTTTAGAGTTTGGGTCAATAATACCTTAGCTGGCTTCGGTAATCTTATCCGTTCGCAACCTGTTGAGAACGACCTTAAGAGACGACAACATCCAAACATCAGGCTGCGATCGTCTGACCAGGTCGGAAGCCGAGTTCCGAGTTCAACATCAAGTATTACCTCTGGCCCAAGTCCGACTACAACCGAGCGCCTTTATCTATCCTCCATGGCATCATCAACGACTCGAGGTGCAGCAGCCCTCAATGCATTTCCGTCAAAACCGCGTGTCTTCATTCTGACCGATATTACCAACGAACCTGATGATGCAGAATCCTTCTGCAGATATCTCACATATTCCAATCAATTTCGCACAGAAGGGGTAGTTGCCGTCACTTCAACATGGCTCAAGAACAAGGTCGCGCCGCAAAATCTCCATGAGATTGTCAATGCATACGAGAAAGTAGTTGATAACCTCAACGCCCATGCCCCTACAGACTCCCTGTACCCGTCGGCGCAGAGCGTGAGAGACCTGATCAAGTCTGGTCCTCCAGTAAGTAATATTCGCCTCCGAAATCGGCATATGGTTTTCTGACAGAGCGATTCCTCAGGTTTATGGTATGGAAGCAGTCGGTGACGATATACCGCTTAGTGAAGGAGGTGAACTTCTTCTCGAGCGATTGACGGCTCCCGTAGAAGACCCTCTCTGGGTTCTCGTCTGGGGCGGCGTCAATGTGCTTGCCCAAGTCCTCAACAAGATCCGTGACCGGCCGGATGCAGCTAAACTGCGACAGAAGCTGCGTGTCTACACGATTTCTGATCAAGATGATTGCGGAGGCTGGATTCGCCAACAGTATCCCGAAATCTTCTACATTTGCTCCGTTCACGGCTGGAACCAATACCAAGCTGCCGCTTGGACTGGTATTTCGGCTCCTTGCTCTGGCGATGTGGGTGGTCCCGACGACTCGAAGGTGACTCACGAATGGGTCAAACAAAACGTTCAGATTGGTCCTTTGGGCGCCGCGTACCCAGATTTTGAGTTTATTATCGAGGGGGACACGCCCACGTTCCTTTATCTCATTCAAAATGGTTTGGGCGTTCCAGAAGAGCCTCTGTATGGATCTTGGGGTGGCCGCTATATCCCGGTGAACGTGAGCTCAAAGGGGCTTTCTTCTAGGGGTCATTTTGCAGACGCAATCGACACTGTAACAGGTGTAGATGGCAAGCCGCACAGGTCCAATCAGGCGACCATCTGGAGGTGGAGAAATGCTTTCCAGGACGACTTTGCCGCACGTATGCAGTGGACTTTGACGTCCGATTTCAGCAAGGTCAACCATCATCCCGTCGCGGTTGTCAATGGCGATTCCGACCTGACGCCCATTCATATCGAAGCCGATGCCGGAGGCGTGGTTACTTTCGATGCGTCGGAGAGTTACGACCCTGATGGTGACCAACTCAGCTTTAAGTGGTATCAGTACCGCGAGCCAAGCTCACTACAGACTTATCACGGACTGGAGGTGTCTGACATTGAGATCAAGGCTCTCAACGATGGGGGAAGTAAGGTGGAGGTTAAGATTGCGCCGGCAGAGAAGTCTTGCATTGTGGTCAGAGAAAAGATTCCCCTGGAGCGAGGCCTGCCGCTGCACTTGATACTGGAAGTCACGGACAGCGGCTCGCCTGCTTTGACGAGCTACCGCAGGGTGATATTACAGCCTATCGATAGAGACTTCGCAAATAGAAAGTAGACAATTGGGATCTGTAGTCTAACAAAATGCAGAATTATCAAATCCAAGATTTTTTGGATAATCAGTGGCTTTGCAGTCTTCAAGTGTGACCTAATGCATCAGCCATAGACGCTCTTCGGGAGTAAAGCATGTGTATCTCTGCGGCGGGAGTATGGGTTACAAGAGGACCATTTGGTGACCGGAAGGTTGCTGTCACTAGCAATATGTTGAACTAAAGAATGAAATCTAGTCAATTCTGTTCGTAATCATCATGTGATCATATACCCACCTATCCGGGTAAGCAAAACCGGAGCCCGATCGGTGTAAGGCCGGCTTACTCCGGCCGGCGACTGTGCCGCAAAGGTGCCAATGTGCCGGATCGGGGCCCACATTCTCCGCAAGTCCGCCTACGGTATTCGGGCTCCGCCGGCTTTCAGAAGCTAAGTTTCAGCCAACCCCGCTTGAGTCTAGGCTTAAATTACGTCTTCGCCCTTGCTCCCTCCTGAACGGCGGCGTCGGGTGAACTATTTCACTATCTAAGCCACCTCAACAGCCTGGCATTTGGTGGTTCTCTCCATCTTCACACTGCTAGATCCCCATCACTGAAATTCACCTATCGAAACATCACCACAATGGTGCGCTTCGCCGCTAAGGATATTCCTGACCTCGCAGGCAAGATCATCCTCGTTACTGGAGGCAATATCGGCCTCGGCAGGGAAACAATCACCCAGCTCAGCAAGCACAAGCCAGCCCACATCTATCTCGGAGCTAGAAATGAGTCCAAAGCATTGGCCGCAATTGAGGACATCAAGAAGACAGTGCCAGACGCGGCCCCCATCTCGTTCCTGGAGATCGACCTGACGTCATTTGAGAGCGTCAAGCGTGCTGCTAAGGAATTCCAGTCGAAGTCGCAGCTCCTTCACATCCTCATGAACAATGCCGGCATCATGGCCTGGCCGCCCGGTGTAACAAAGGAGGGCTACGAGATCCAGTTCGGCACGAACCATATGGGACATGCTCTTCTCACCAAGCTCCTCCTGCCGACGCTGCAGCACACCGCCAAGGTCGGCCCCGATAAGGACGTGCGCATCATCTCCCTCTCCTCGGCGGCCGAGAACTGGGTTCCGAGCAACCTCTACAACTTTGACGACTTCAAGACCGACATGGCCTCCACGGGCACCTGGGCGCGTTACGGCGCGTCCAAGGTGGCAAACATTCATCACTCCAAGGCCCTTGCTAAGCGATACCCTGAAATCCGCTGCATCTCAATCCACCCAGGTGCTGTCAATACGAATCTCGTCAGCGGCCCAATCGCCAGCTACCCTCTCGTGAAGCCAATCGCAGGCATCGTCACCTGGCTTGTGTCAACGCCCGTATCGAAGGGTGCGCTGAACCAGCTGTGGGCCTCGGTCAGTCCGGATGCCGAGACGGGTGTGTTCTACTGGCCTGTGGGTGTGAAGGGCAAAGACTCTAAGAACGCACTGAATGAAGAGCTCGCAGAGAGCTTGTGGAAATGGACGGAGAAAGAGCTAGAGCCCTATGTTTGAGGTAGTGTCGCCACCAAGGCATGTGAACTCAATTTGAGCAACGCCGTCGCGGGACTTTCTGTAAGATTGTATCCATTCAAGTCCATATGAAACACATAATGTCATTGTAACAATTGGTCGTAATTTGACTTGTCATGTTTTGAGGACCTTGTTCATGCTTCAGCCCGCCACTCTGCAGGGTCTTTTCGAACCGTACTTACCGCTGGAAATGTTGATCACACACGATCGTCTTGATAGCCTACAGCTGATACTAGCAGTGCGAACACACCGTTCTATCCATAGGACTGGAAGGACATGCCGGAGCGTAACTCAAATCAGAGCATTGGATCCTAATATGGAATAGGGATGTGAGGCTGTCGGCACTATCGAAGGCCGCAGACGACCCCTGTTGGGCCCCAGTCCCAGAACCACTGGCGCGGTGCTGCTTGTTGGAGTCCAGACCTTCGACAACCCACTTACCGGGGTCCCCAATTGGCTTGATGATCGTCCGGAAACCTCTTGCCCTAGAGTTGATTCGTGGACTTGCCGCAGAGATATCCAAATTGGGTTTGCTCAGCTCTGCTAAAGATGGAAAAGTTGAGCCTCGGCCGCTCAAATAGGAGCGCAGGTAATCGCCACGCCCGCAATCGGTATCTGTCACTAGCACAATTTTGCCGGCGGTTACATACTTTAGCTGCTTCTCGGTCGAATGGTGTCACTGCACTGGTCCACGGCCGAGATCTGATTATCATTGTGGGAACCGTCGAGTCCCAAATGGGGAACGAGCTGATGTTCAGCTCAAACTTCGAGGCCCTAGACCGTGGTCCATCGTCAGCATGGAAGGTGCAAGCGGTCATTCGGCGGTGCTTGAGGACTGCGACGCGATCACAAGATATATCTGTAGCTTCTATTCCCTGGTCGTACCTCGTCTAGAGAATTGATATAAAATCAAGGGGAAGTCCTTTTACGAGATATATCTAATAATCTCCTTATCAACACAGTCCTGGCATCACTTATTCTCAACAATGGCCGATCAGCAAGAGCCCATCTTCACGCCAGCCAGCGGCTATGAGTCGTTTATTTACATTTACAACAAAACCAAAGTCGATTTTGCACTTGACCGGTCGAAAGCCATTCTAGGTTCTTGGGCCAAGGGATGCCCTCCAAATACA